GATAATAAAAGTTTGACCTTCGAGTAACATTGATGTTCAGCAACATTTTTTTGAAAATTAATCATTAAAACGCTATCATCTGGTTCCTTTTTGAGGTAGGCATTGTCAACGAGGTGCTGTCATTAAAAATGTAATGCGTGATGAATTCGTGAAAATACCCTATCACCTTTAAGACTGGAACAGAAATGAACATACGATCCCCAGGTGGTATGTCAGAAGAAGAAGTAGCATTCACCGGGAGAGGTTCTTTTTGTCTCTGACGTCTTGGGCAGTTGTCGGTCTAACGTGAACCGATAAACACGTCACAACCATTGAGTTACCATAGCAACCACCCGCTGCGAAGCTGTATTCGCACTCTATACCAAAGGGTAGAAACCCACTACAGCACGCAACTCACTAAAAGGGACGAGATGAAGCTCTTCCGAGAACACTCCAGAGCTAAGGGCTATTTCGAGCGTTCATTCAACGAAACCGAATGTGACCGAACCACGGAACGAGGAGCATTGCCCACCAAAGTCGTCGCGGAGCAACCCGTACCTGAAAGTGGTTTCCGAAATCGTGGCTAGATCCCTTGCACCTCTCAGAAGGGGACATACGTACCTGCAAATCTCCACAATCCAAAGCGAGTAAAGCCACCGAACGACCCTATCTCGAAGCAGGACAAATCAGGCGTCGTCTATCGACTGCAGTGCTATCGCGAAATGTGCAACTTTGTTGGCGAAACCGACTGACAGCTGCAAACGCGAATGCATGAACACCAGGTGGCTGGACCCAAAGGTGGAAGTTAACAATCCATGCAGCAGAGATAGAACACGCCTTCAAGTTTGATGCCGTTGAAATTGTGGGCACCAAATGACGTTCATTCAGCAGGGCAAATTTAAGAAGCCTGGACCTCGACTGACTGTCCGGTAAACCGTAATATCAATTTGCCTAGCCCCTATGTGGTACATAAAATCTTCTAATCGGAAAACGTTTATGGTGAGAATAAATTCGGGCCGCCAACCAGCTCTGCAGCCATCGTGCATTTCCGTGAAATAGGCCTAGTCGACGCGATGGAACGTGAAAGTGAAAATAATAGCTGCAAGGGGACGGACAGGATAAAATAAGGGCGAGACATGAAAGACTCAGAGCGGCTCAGCGGGGACTGGAACACAGCTTCGAATATAAAGCTGTTGGCATGGTGGGCCACGGTGAAGATCGCAAATTTAAGAAGCCTGGATGCCGACAAACTGTTTGGTAAACACGTGTATGTGTGTGAAACAAGCCATTGCGAGACGGAGACTGACATGACCAACGCACACAAGGGACGAAACAAAAACTATTGCCGTTGTGACCAACAAAATAAATGAGAAAGTCGACAGCAAGACACACAGAGCGGCTCAGCCGCGATTGACAGAACACGCAGTCGAAAACAAATAGCGGCGTAACAGAGGAAGAACTAGGAGTCAGATTATTCATTTTTGGAGGATGTTTAGACGAGACAATTACCCAAAAGATCAGCTAAAAAAACCTCTCCCGATGAATGCTTTTTTCTTCCTCTTCTCTTCTTCTCTGCGAGTGGAAATATCTTCTTGATTCTGTCTCGATACCGGACACAGGCAGGTGAACAAAGAGCGAGTGTGGTAGATGCATCGCAAGTCTGCTAACACTTCAAAATATTTCACGTGCAGGTAACCATTCTTGTCCCACCCTGCTGTGGAGCACACGGTCGACATCCTCAAAATTGCCGGTCAACTTGTTACGTTATGATACGGAGGACTGAGTGCGATAGATACAACGCAAGTAAGACCCGAGCATGTCCATCGGAGGCTTCATCAAGCAAATTTGGTCGGAGCCAGCAGGCTATAATTGATAAACTTAATAGGGCCCCATTACAAAAATGCTAAATAAACCTGTCCCGAAATTAAAAGCCTTCTTTCCCTGGTGAAAATTTGAAGATTGTATAAACAGCGAAATAATTTAAAGGATCCATCAATTTCGAGAGTGCTCTTCAGTTGCTATCTCTCATTGCATAATGTGAATGAACGTCAAAGAAAATACACAATTAAATTCATACGGAAAAATTCGATACAAGACGGCAAGTTCACTGTAAATGGCCAAGAGGCAATCGATAGGAAGAAGGCAATCGGTTGTAGGAATTTTAAACGCTGTAGGCAGTAAAAACTGGTGAAAAAAAAAGTCCAAGCAAAAAGAAAAATGGGGAAGGGAATGTGTTAACAGGAAGCCAGTATTACCAAGGTAGAGTAAGGTTCACTACATGCTCCAATTGTTTACATAGGTCGGGTTTAAACCGCCGTATGTAGGCTGCCTCAAGTTAGCGTGAGGTACGAGTTGTTCGTACCTGAAAAAGTACTCGGAAGAACGTTTTATGGTCCACGGAATGGCCCGTATCTAGCAGGTGTTCAGTAATTGATGGTATTAAAAATGTTGTCGCCCTTAAAGGGCAAATATATGAAAACGGGCTTCTTCGGAACTATCTGTTCCGTCATTTTGGGCCGTAA